TCGAAGCTGTTACATTTTCCGTACACAACCCTCTAGTCTAGATTATACGTGTATATTCAGGAAACACCTTCCGATTGTATTTCCTAACCTTATATTACAGTTATTGAGACCTAATCCATCGAGTAGGTAGCCAAGAATAAAATAATGCACTTGAAAACGGTTTATTTATTATAAAAAGCAATAAAGGGCTATACAAAACAGTATTTCTGATTAGTCATCATCGTGGCTTTTGCACAAATCGTTCAATTGTGTTCTTTGCATCCTGTTGAATAAATTCTAAGAAATTGTGCTTGTACTTGACATATGCAGAAATGAAAAAAGCTGTTACTCTAAAATGTTATAAGATAACATAATCCTACAGAATAACCAAATGCAACAAATATGCAAATAACTAGACAAAATTAAAATTCACAAGACCCAGGAAAGCATGCATAATCATTTGCAAGTAGAAGTTGGGATCAATATTGTTTTTTTCAACGACCTACCGGACTGTTCGGANCTGTTCGGACCCCAAGTGTCTATTATGGGCGGATTATATGAAAATTTGGAGACCAACCCAGTTAGCTTATGACGTGAGTACTATTCCGAGATACCTGAATGATTTCACGATGTGGTGCCGCATGTGGAGTTTGCTGATCAATACTCCTAAATGTCATTTCATGCCCATTGGTCGGTAGGCCGGTCTAAGGGTTAACTACCTTCTGGATACTCCCTTATTGGCTCCTATGAGTGAACCTTGGAGTATTGGTTTTACAGTCTTTATAAATAAGAGAGCAAACGTACAAGGCTTATGCATTGGGTTAGAGGAACCTTGAAGCTATTGGCCGTTCCTTTTCAAAACTGTCATACGACGGTTTAAGACAGTTGTACACCTCTCATGTCCGGAGTTAGCGAGCTCCGTGGTCTATCATTGCGCAGTGGCAGTATTTCAAAAGTTGATCAGGGTTTAACAAGCGGTCATTCGCCTTATTTTCCGGTTACGGGAGTACTGCTACAATGAGGGCTTGCAGGTTACAGGAATGTTCCCGGAGGCATACCGTAGAGGTTGCGGTGATATAATGTGTGAAGCATGATCTCCGCTGTGAGTTAGACCCAGAGCAATAGAAGTACTTCCCTCTGCGCAACTAGAACCGTAAAGGTTGTCATAAGCTCGCACTGATGAAGCTTCCATTAAGCGGGTTAACACTGAAGAACCGACTATCAACCAACTTATGAAATGCTCTTTTAGCTGACGTAGTGGATGAGGTTAAGGACAGCTCGTTCAACGGGAAGTTTAACTGCGTTCTTCAAGAAAAAAATATATAGTTTTGACATGAATGCAGACGCCAATTTAGTGGTAAAAACGATTATATGGTAGGTTTTCCTGCCTCCAACTGAAGAAAATTGAACATATTGTTGCTGGCATAGTTGTAGTATATCGCAATTTTCATATAATTGATTTGTACATCAATTCCTATCGCATATGTGATATAATTTGATCATGGTAATACAGTTTTTGTCTTTACTCATCGACGATTATTAATAATTGACCTAAACGGCCTGTTTTTATCAGGGCTTTTGTGTTCTGCCAAGCAGCTGGTGTCACTAAGGGCCGTTTGGCATTTTACACTCATGTGTGCGTTCGGTGACATTTAGGTTACTCAGCAGCGGCGCTCTTGTTACACACTTCTTGAAGAAGTATTCAAAGCAGACGATGTGATCAATTTTGAATGATTATTTGTTTCCCATATTCCCTGAGTTGGAACGAATGTTGTACAGTGAGCAACAGGCCAATGGAGTATTCA